CCCCCCCCTACAGCAAAACCAGACAAGTAAAAACAGGGAACGACTCAAATCCTGGGAAAACCCCCCAAAAAAGAGGGAGGGGGGAGGGAAAAGGGGGAGGGGGAAACTCCCCCCCAAAAAGGGAAGGGTTTGGGGTTTTTGTTTTTCTTAAAAAAAGGAGTTTTTAAAGTAAAAAGGCCAATTTTTTACCTCGAAAAAAAGGCAGGAATTGGCTCCGGGAATGGTTAAAAAACGACAACAAAAAAAAAAGGGGGAAAAACACAAAAAAACCACCAAAAACCAGCAAAATAAACCCAAAAAATCTCCAACCCCACACCAGTGAAATGTTTGAGGGGGGGGGCGAGAGGGACCCCCCCCAAAAAAAGGGGTGGGAAAGGAGGGAAACCCCCAAATTTAGGGAATCCTCAAATTTAGGGAATCCTCAAATTTAGGGAATCCCAAAATTAAGGGAATCCTCAAATTTAGGGATTTCCCCCCCAAAAAAAGGTTGGGGACCCCCAAAAAGGAGGGAATTCCCCCCAAATATGGGGAGACCCTCCCCAAAATTTAGGGGAACCCCCCAAATTTAGGGGATTCCTCCCCCCCCTCGAAGGGTTGAGGAGCCCCCAAAAGGGGGAGAGATCCCCCAAAAGTGAGGGAACCCCCCCGAAAAGAGGGTGGAGACCCCCAAAATTGGGGAGACCCCCCCAAAAAAGACCCCCCAAAGCAGCAGTTTTTTAAGGCAGGGGCCGATTTTGGGGGGTCCCAGGTGCTGCTTTGGGGGGGGTCATAAAAACCCCAAAATATTTTAGGGGGGGTTAAAAACCCCAAAATATTTTAGGGGAGGAGCTCCAAGACCCCAAAATCTTTTAGGGGATGGCTCAAAAACCCCAAAATCTTTTAGGGGGGAGAAATCTTTTAGGGGAGGAGCTCCAAGACCCCAAAATCTTTTGGGAGGGTAAAAAACCCCAAAATCTTTTGGGGAGGCTCAAGAACCCCAAAATCTTTTAAGGGGGGGATTAAATACCCCAAAATATTTTAGGAGAGGAGCTCCAAGACCCCAAAATCTTTTGGGGGGGGCTCAGAAACCCCAAAATTCTTTAGGGGGGAGCTCCAGGACGCCAAAATCTTTTAGGGGCGGGTAAAACTCCGGGAAAATCTCTTTAAAAACCCTCCAAAAGGGGCGAAAAAAGACCCAAAAAAAAGTTCCAAAAAAGCCCCTTTTCTGTGCCAGCTTTGGGGGGTTTTGGGGGTGTTTTTTGGGGGGGTTTTCCCCTAAAAGATCCTCTTCCTCTTGAGGTGGGAGTCGGCGTAGTGCCCCCCCCAGGCCCTGGGAATGTTGGCCCACGTAACAACCCTCGGGACTCGGCTCCGGGGACGGGAGCAGGTGGGAAAAACCTCGTTTGTGACCCCCCAGGGCCGCCTGCAAAAGGAAAATACACTGGGGTTAGTGGGGTTTTTGGGTGTTAAAATTGATAAAAGCGATAAAAGTAATTGTTGGAATTAAAATAGAATTAACTGAAATTAATGGAAATGGATAAAATTAAAATTAACGAAATTTTGTTATTGAAACTTCACTTATTAAAATTTTGTTTATTAAAATTTCGCTTATTAAAATTTTGTTTATTGAAATTTTGTTACTGAAATTTTGTTATGAAAATTTCACTAGTAAAATTTTATTAAAATTTCGTTATTAAAATTTTGCCATTAAAACTTCATTATTAAAATTTCATTACTGAAATTTTATTTATTAAAATTTTGCTTGTTAAAATTTTGTTATTGAAATTTTGCCATTAAAACTTCATTATTAAAATTTTATTTATTAAAATTTTGCTTGTTAAAATTTCATCATTGAAAATTTTGGTTATTAAAATTTTGTTACAAAAATTTCGTTTATTGAAATTTTATTAAAATTCTGACATTAAATTTCGTTTTTAAAATTTTTGTTTTGCTACTAACATTTTTGGTTTGTTATTAAAATATATAAAATATATAAAATATATAAAAAATATAAATAATACATTAAAATATATAAATAATATATAAAATATATTACAATATATAAATATCCCTGCCCTTATTTCCCCCCCCCCAAAAAAAAAAATCCCAAAAATCCCCCTCCCAAAAATTTTGGGGGGTTTTGTTACCTTGGAGTGGGGAGTGGAGGGTCCCAAGGGCAGGATGGGATCCGGGGAACTCGGGGGGATCCCCAGGGGCTGGGGGGGAAAAATGGGAATAAATGAGGGAAAAATGGGAGAAATGAGGGGAAAATGAAGTGAAAACCAGGAAAAATGATATGAAAAGGGGGAAAAATGACAGGAAAAAGGGAATAAATGAAGGGAAAAAAGTGAAAATTAAGGAAAAAAGAGGAAAAATGAAGGGAAAAACGAAAGGAAAAAGGGGAAAAAAATGAAAGGAAAAATGAAGGGAAAAAGGGGATAAATGAGGGGAAAAGGGGAAAATGGAGGGGAAATGGGGATAAATGAAGGGAAAAGGGGGATAAATGAGGGAAAAGGGGAGAAATGAGGGGAAAATAGGATAAATGAGGGAAAAATGGGATAAATAAAGGGAAAGGGGAATAAATGAGGGGGAAAAGGGGGATAAATGAGGGGAAATGTGGGATAAAGGAGGGGAAATGTGGGATGAGGGAAAAATGGGATAAAGGAGGGGAAATGTGGGATAAATGAGGGGAAAATTGGGATTAATGATGGGAAAATGGGGAAAATAGAGGAAAAAATGGGATAAATGAGGGAAAAGGGGGAAAAATGATGGGAAAATGGCAGAAAAACGGGATAAATGATTGGAAAGGGGGATAAATGAAGGAAAAGGGGTTGGGGGTCCCCCAGTTTGGGGTCTCACCTTGCTGAGGTGGCTCTGCTTGAGCCCGGCCTGGATCCCGCTGGAGAAGCAGGAACTGGGGGAGCCCGAGAAAAAGGGGGGCAGGGGGGGCCCCAAAACCCCCCTGTCAAAGCCTGGGGAGGGGGACGGGACCTGCAAGGGGAGCAGAGCCCTGAAACACACCCCAAAAATCAGGGGGAGCCCCAAAATCCACCCCAAAAACGAGGGGGAGCCCCAAAATCCACCCCAGAAATGAGGGGGAGCCCCAAAATCCCTCCCAAAATAGGAAGAGACCCTGAAAATCCACCCCAAAAATAAGGGGGAGCCTCAAAATCCCCCCCAAAAATGGGAGAGACCCTTAAAATATCCCCTAAAAATAAGGGGGAGCCTCAAAATGCCCCCCTGAAATAGGGAGAGACCCTTAAAATCCCCCCTAAAAATAAGGAGGATCCTCAAAATCCCCCCCAAAATAGGGAGAGAGCCTTAAAATCTTCCCCAAAAATAAGGGGGGGCACCAAAATCCCCCCAAATCCCCCCCCAAAAAAAAGGGGAGCCCCGAAATCCCCCCCAGAAATAGGGAGAGACCCTTAAAATCCCCCCCCAAAATAAGGGAGAACCTCAAAATCCCCCCAAAAATGGGAGAGACCCCAAAATCCCCCCAAAAGGGTTTTTTTGGGGTATTTACCTTGTTCCTGGGCCCAAAGCCCCCCAGGAGGGGCCCGGGGGGGTCTCGGGGTTGGGGGAAAATCCTGGAGCCCAAATCCTGCCGGGAAAAAAACAGGGGAAGGGTTAAAAGGTGGAATTCCCAAATTCCTGGGAAAAATGGGGGGCCTGGGGGGTGTCCCAGGTCTAAACCTCCCCCAAAAATCCCGGATTTCACCCCAAAATTCCACATAATGGCTGGAATTCCAAGGTCCCAAGAAAAGCAGGGATTTAAGGGAGTCTCTCAAGCCTAAAATCCCCCAAAATCCCCAGATTTCACCCCAAAATTCCACATAATGGCTGGAAATTCAAAGGTCCCAGGAAAAGCAGGGAGTCTCCCAAATCTAAAAATCCCCCAAAAATCCCGGGTTTCACCCCAAAATCCCACACAAGGGCTGGAACTCCAAAGTCCCAAGAAAACCAGGGAGTTCAGGGAGTCTCCCAAGCCCAAAAGCCCCCAAAATCCCCGGATTTCACCCCAAAATTCCACATAAGGGCTGGAATTCCAAAGTCCCAGGAAAACCAGGGAATTCAGGGAGTGTCCCAAGCCCAAACCCCCGAAAAATCCCCGGATTTCACCCCGGAATTCCCAAACCCACCGGCTGGAATTCGAATCCGAAGGTGTCTCCGGAGGGGGGGGGCAGCAGGGGGGGGTCTGAGGGACCCCCCAGGACCCCCCCGGGTTTGCCCTTGAACCCCTTGGAAGCGGCTCCTGGAAAAGGCAGGAAGGGTTGGGAATGGGGGGGATGATCCCAAAAAAGTCCCTTTCCCGGTTTTCCTCACCTGTTTGGGGCAGGAGGGTTGGGAAGGGCTGGAAAGGGTTGGGAATGGGGGGAATGATCCCAAAAAAGTCCCTTTCCCGGTTTTCCCTCACCTGTTTGGGGCAGGAGGGTTGGGAATGGGGGAGAAGGGAAGGAATGATCCCAAAAAA